GGACTAACTTCAGCAGTCTAGGGGCACTGATGCTTCCTCAGCTTCTCCTTTGCTCTCTGGTTTTCTCACAGCCCCCATCCTGAAGCACCTGAGGCAGTGGAGAGACTGCCAGTGTGATAACTAGTCAGCTTTCTAGATGCATGCCCTCAAGCAGGGATTAAAAAAAAATGGATTTGGTGGTTGCTAGATCATGATTGCAGATGTCAAAAAGCCTTTTTTTTTGTCATCGGCCAAAATCACATCCTGTGAATTTCTTTCATCTCTACCACCAAATGTATATTGTTGACATAAGTTTTAAGTCTAACTTGTGTCCCTTTGACTTYTTCCGTACTTTGCTTGCTTTATCCAGCTGGGCACATGTCTGTAATAACTCTTGGTCTCAAGAGGAACTTTCATCGGCTGTAGGGGCTGATGGGACTGGACAGTCGCGTCCCTGAAGATGGAGCTTTGGGTGTTGTGCTCTCTTCTGGACATAGACTAGAGTAAACAGCTCTGAATGAAAGGATGATCCCAGTCAGAACCCAGTTGACCCTTTGGGTCTCCTTTATGATCCTTGGAAAGCCTTTGGGACTTTCTGCATGGATGAATGCAGAGGAGCTTGTGCAGTAAGCTGCTCGGATGCAGGAGGGTTCTGGTTAGTGTTGGTGCTGTGCTCCCTTAGCCTGCAGCTGCCGGACTGCTGGCCTGGAGCTGCCTGCTGGAGCCGTGGGGGCGGCCGAGGTGACAACTCCCTGGGCCCCAGGGCCCGTCTCCAAGGCGGGAACAGCAGCACTTAGTGCCACTTAGTGTCYCCAGCCCCGCGGGGCCGGTCGGTGAGGAACAAAACACTGATGGGTCCCCCAGTGCTTTGCAAATATAACAAGGCCTCTTGTTGTTTAATTGATTGCCAAAAAATTCTCATTAGTAGGGTGTTCCTCCCTTGGTAGTAGCAACTGTTGAACTTCCTTTTCCAGCTCAAAATTCTCATGCTCAGTCTGCTGTRTTTTTGATTTCTTTAAATGGAGGTAAAAGCAAATGTTACTTCTCAGCTCACGTAGGCTGAGAATCTCCCCTGCTTATCTTTTTCTCTCTCGTGTGGTTTGGAAGAGGCAGAACTGAGCAGATGTCTGGCCATCGTTGAATAGCCATCGCTGGCCACTGAATTGGCCAAAGTTGGAAACCTGTATTCAAGATGAACAGAACGGTGAGGGTTTGCACAGCTGGAAAGCTGGGTGGCAGCGAAACCTGCTCGAGCAAGGAGTGACGATTGAGATGTAGAACTCAAAGGTTGTCCAGGAAGTTGCTCATTTACTCTAAACCAGAATACTTAAGACCTTAAACTAGGCTCTGCTTGCGATGTGAGAAGCTGTGGAATTTGAGCTGGGGACGCTGCAGGAAGTCGGGGATGGTGCTGGAGATTTGACCCTTCTCCCATCCCCCCAGTTTCTGGGAAAGCAAGGAACTGGAGCTGTCTGTCCCATTGCAGTTCATGGGAGGGTTGGAAATACTTGAGGAAAGACCAAGGAGGAGCTGTTGCTGTTAACTGTAGTCTTAAATGACACTTATTAAAAACCTGAAGCTAAAGAGGAGCTGGTGGAAGTTCAGGATGGAGGATTGGCAGGGTGGGTGTCTACCTGGTGTCAGACAGGGTGGCAGGGTGGCAGACCCTGCGAGGCGGCTTCCTGCAGACAGGAGAGGTAGCCCCATCTCCCAGCCCTGTACTCCCTGCGCATACATCGTGCCAGCCTTTGTGCTCCACTTACCTCTCCGTTTGCTGGTTCCATTTGCTAAATCCTCCGGATAAYGGAGCTCACTGAGGGATTAAGGGAGCTCGGGAGCTGGTGCASACCGAGGCGGTGCAACTTGCAGGGCTGAGTGGAAGCAGCCGGCGAGCGCTAGGCCGGCTCTGYGCTCTCCTGCAGCCTTGCCCGCCCCAAAGAACAAACAAAATCCTCCTTTGTTCCCTGCCAAACCTTCCTCTCCCTGAAAAATCAGTTTGTCCGGTCCCTAAGCCTGTTACCACCACAGCACACACAGTCCCTCTTCTCACAGGCAGCTCCTTCTCCACTGAGGTGGTTATCTCTCAAGAGCCGTAAATGAACTCTTATGTGCCTTGCATTCAGTGGTGAAGTTAACTAATTTATTCTATAAAATATATAGTACTTACAGGATGGCATGTGAATGTGGCTGCTGAAATCTTAACCTTTGCTTTTCTAGTTTTGATTTTTTTTTCTGTTTCTCTCCCACCCCACAACCTTATCACTTCATTTACAATCTCTGCATAAAACACATTACTGGAATACCTTCAAGTGTGTATTTCTTGGACATAAAAAGTACAGTTTTGTGAAATGCGRAGCACCACTTCTCTGAGGCGACTAATCTCTTGTAAATCCAATGTTTGTGCTCCTGTTTGCACAAAGAAGTACCTGCTTCGAGCACTTCAGCACATTTCCCTTTCTGTGGAATGCGAATCTATAAGACTTGTTCATAGATATTTTTGTTTTTTTTTCACTTACAGCTTTTCCTCCCTTTCTTAAAAGCAGATTATGAAAATAGTTCTTTTCTACGTATTTGTTTAGAGGCTGTATTCCTGTAATACATGTGTGCCCCCATTATATCTGAAGGACCTAAATATTTCTGTGGCAGTGTTGTATATTACCTGCCTAACTTGTACATGGAAAAGGAGATGATTTTGCTGCTTTTTAGCAAAGATTCAATAGAACAGAAAAGTAAGAGCTAATATTAAAGCTTATTTCTTAAAGTATGCCACAGTAAATGTACCAAGCACATTATGAAGAATTATCGTAGTTAAAACTATGCTACATGTTCCTTCAAAAAGAACATTTTCCCCCTATTTTGAAGCATTGTATTTAGTTACTTGGTCCAAAGSCTTTCTTTGTGTATTCTTAGGCTATAGGTGGCTGTAACAATCTAGTGCTTTCTGTATAGTGAACTATTCTGGTTCCGTGAAGGAATGAGGTTTTTAATCTTCTAATAGAAGAAGTTTCACCACAGCACCATGCTGACCATATCTTAGCAAAGCATTTCAGGGCCCTCTCGTGCTCGTGGTAACCGTTGCCTGTTCTCCCGTGATCACACAGCATCCCTCGGGCCCTCAGCGCTGCTGCCGGGCTGTCTTCGTGCTGCCGTCGTGCTGCGAGCTGTGCTGGCACCAAGCTTAGCGGCTTCGAGTAAGAGGCAGCAGCAAGTGCTCGTGTCTGTAAATGCAGTTTGGGCATTTCTTTTATTGTACCCGTGCGTGTTGAGCTGGGAGCGAGGGCGGCCTGCCCTAGGTTTGGAGCAGGGGGATGATGTTAACGTTGGCAGGCCGGAGGGAGGAGCGGGGCCGCCGCTCGGGTACCGTGGGCCGCTCGCCCGGCGGGTCTGAGGGGGAGAGGAGGGCGAAATCCCTTTGGTGGGAAAGGGGCTTCGGGAAGCAAAGTGAATTAAGAAGGCCRTAAAAATTGATAAAGATAGGGCTGTCTGATTTTATATTCTGCCACATAACAGGGGTTTAAATGAATTTCCCTATAATTTGTCTTCAAATGCCGACATTTAACTCTTAGGCTGTATAAATGAACTGGCTTTTCCTAGAGTAAAATTCATGCCCTGCGTCCAGGCTAATATGTTCTCCTACTATAAACATTACTGCCTATGGTTACAGCTGGAATAAAAAATTCCTTTTATATACATCATAGCTGGCAGAGACTCCTGAGACCACCACAAATCACTTCAGCCTTTTGGTGCKCTCCGCCGAAATGAAGTGAAATGTAGAGCAGCTCGGGCTTGGGGCACTCGGACTCTGGAAGCAATTAGCTTGTTTGGACTGTTGTTTGTACCCTCCCATTTTCTGCAGGTGCTGAGCAAAGGTATTCAGGAGCTTTCCTGATCAACACTGGGTTTTAACCACCTTTTCTTCATTCTTTCTTAAGGTGTTTTGCTCACCCTCTGTTTAGCTTTTTATTTAAGCAAAGCAAAAGAAAAAGAGAAAAGAAAAATAAAATTCCTCCCTCCCTCAACAGAAGAAAGGAAGGAAGTGTGTGTGTGTGGGGGGGAGCGAGGGTCATAAGAGCGAATAACAAAGCAGTGAGTTATTTATGCAGCCGTGATTGGCAAAAATGATTGCAACATGAATTTGCCCAGAAGCAATGATTAGATCATAAAAATGTTAAGGAAATCTGTAACTCAACACCATTTTATAGATTGAAGAAGTTTTTGTTCCCTACCTTAATTGTGGTGACTTGTTATTAAAGTATTTATTCAGAGTAATCTCTTTGGACAGCGAGCCCTTATCCCATCTGCATGCATAATTAAAAGTGAGGGGGGACGGAGGGGGAGCGTAAATGGTTTACCATGCTACATGAGCAAGGGAGGGAATTACACAATGACAGGTGAAGAGCAGATTTATGTCCTGTTGGAATTTCAATGCTGCAAGCAAGGCAGGACACTGTTGCTTGCTAATATCCTTGCAAACGCAGTTGTTGCTTCTCCAGATTCCTGTCCAAAAATCATTTCTGGTCTCTACAAGGCCCGTAGCGCTGCATCTGCAGCTCTGCTTTTTGAGCCACTGATGCACAAGCAAAGGGATTGGATTTGGGTATGTGGGCTTGTGAATCCAAAAAAAAAAAAAAATTGGATTGTGCTTAAAAATTTCCTTGGCTGACTATTTATTTATTTATAAATAAACATTGGTGTTGTCTGTCTTTGAATACAAATCAGAGGGTTGTATTTGTACCAATTGAAACAATGTCATCGCCTGCCTCCCACAGCCATCCGTTTTCCAATGATAAAAGAATTTGGTGCAATTCTTCTTTTTCTACTTTGTGAGTAGAAAGAAGGTTTTACTCGAACATTCATCTCCAGGCAGATTTATCATCATTAGGCAGTGCTCAAGCACACAGTATCTATTTTTAAATTGAACTGTTACGGATGCAAATCAAATTTACCTAGAATAAGTTGGTATGTATTTGACTGTAACTAGTCACTAAAGAGTCCCTTCTCCTTGACTTGCCATGTCTCACCTCTGCAGCAGCAGTATAGAGAATGCCAGGAACTTTTAAGCCTGTATCAGAAGTACCTAGCGGAGCAGCAGGAAAAACTATCGCTCTCCCTCGCCGAACTCAGTGCTGCCAAGGAGAAGGAGCAGAAGGTAAGCTCGTTCCTCTCGTGTCTGTGTTCACGATATCTTCTAAAACATCTTCTTTCTGTTTTTTCTAGAGCCATAACTGAAGCGCATSGTCTTGTATTATACTAGATTGTAAACTCTTTGTCATTGACTTCCTCTGACTTCTTTTCTTAATATGTGGATTGCACAGCCTATTCTCTAGTAGGAAGAATAGGAGTTCCAGTTCTGGACCAGTAAAATGGGTGAAATTAATGGACCATGTTTTAATGTAGGAGGAACCAGAGGAACACATTTCCTTGCTAAAGAAAAAGATAAGGTGTTCTTCTGTCTTCTTTGCTTCTGTTTTATTAAAAAATAATCCTATCACTTAGATAAAGCCTTTAAAATTTTTATTGTGGCTTCTCATGGTTGAAAAGAAGTTTATAGGTAATGCGTTTGGTCAGCATAAACTTTGTGAAGTTTGTAAGGCAGCCCGGCTGGTCTGAGCTATTCATATAAGACCTAAAACTGTATATGCAGTTAAACAGAAAATGTAGACTACATATTTACAATATGGTAAATTAAGCAGTAATATGGTTCTCGGTTGTACCTGCTCTCAAATTCTTAAACATGGTTGTCCTTTGATTTCTTCTGAGAACTGGGCACTTCGTTTGCCTTTCTCCTGATAAATGATTGTACCCAGAGAAACAAGGCAGTTGGTGCAAGTGCCTTACTCAACGTTGCTCTCACCAGCTATTCTTTCCATTGCTTCCATGGGCAGATCTCCATCCCGAATCTCTCTTGCGTAACACTGTGCCTTTTGAGCCCTGGATCTTTTGCTAGAAGAATCTTAAAGGCTTACAATGTGGCTACAAGGTTTGCAGAAAATGGTCTGATTTTTTGCCTCTCAGTAGTTCCCTGATAGCTAAATTACATAGAATCTGTTTAGTCTGTGAAAAGAGGGGTACACAGGGGTACGCTTTTAATTCTGTTCAGGAAGCAGGTAGCACTACTTGTAACTTTGTCTTGAACAGAATTTATTTTTTTCCTGTCAATTTGTGCTTTGGTTTTGATACTGAGCTGCTTATCGCATCTTCAGCATCTATATGCATTATTCTTTATTCATTTTTACGTTTCTCAGACATCCATTCTGTGATGGTATTAATTTGCAAGAATTAGAACCCTTTCCTCTGAGAATGGGCAGTGTCAGGCCGCTCATCTGTGACCTACACCTGGCTTGGGGGATCATGATGGAAACCAGTTCTGAGGAATTAAGCYGACAGCACGCCCAGGTCTTGGATGATGACATCTCTTTGGCTGAACTAGGCTTGAAAGCTTTCATTGGTAGTCTGTGTGTTGTCCTAGGTTAGTTACTCGTTTAAAACTGTCTAGGTTTTCGTTGCATCTGCTATGCCCAAAAGCATAGAAGTGGACAATACTTAAGGTTGTTAACTGTCAAATCATCATCTGACAATTGAGCAGTTCAACTTCATCTCTTCTTGTTCCTGATCACTGTTATTGGGGCGTATACAGGGGGCATTTTGAACTTGGCTGGCTCCTCTGTTTGCAGGATGCTGTTGAATTCATGTTTCATCCTCTGTACTTTCAGAAAGTTTTGCCCACAAACGCAGATTCAGATGTTATGTCCAAGCTTGTCTTAGTATTTTGTCTCCGGTTAGGTGACTCTCCACGTTAGCTGGAGAGTTAACTGAACTCCCCTGTTCAGTTTTTTCTGTTGACTCCTCATGGATACGGAGTTACTTACTTTCTCTGCATTTGGCTTTATAAGTGTTTGTTTTTCCCCTCTCAAAAGGAGTTCTTCACAATGTGTTTCTCCTTATAATTTAGAAAAAAAGAAAAAATTGCAAGATGACCTTATTGTTTCAGTTCTTTCCCTAACATAGCTGCAAGAAAAAAAAGACACTAGGCTGTGTGTTGTTGGACTATGATGCTTTGTTTTGTTTTGTTTTGTTTTGTTTTGTTTTTTGTTCCTGTCTTTTGTCTCATGTCTTAATGCTTAGACTGTGACCTCTTAGTATCACGGTGGGTCACTTTTTGCTCTGAGTGTTGTGCAAGATAGAAAAGGACGTGCATCCTGGTGGAGCACATCATTGGGGCAGGGCACTGGGAGCACAGCAAGGGGGGATCTTAGGAGGTAAGGACTGGGAAGGAGACAAAAACCTTCCCTGCTGCTCCGAGGGCATCGCACCCTGGCTGTCCCTAAGCTGCTAAATCTCCTGCCCGCRTTAAACAAGTTTAAGGATGGGGCTGAAAGAAACCTTCCTGAGTTGTATTTGAATCCTGATCATCGAGAATCGTTTGTTCTATTTTTTTTGTTTTGAATGAGCAAAGGAAATCCTGGGTATGTTTAAGTCAATAGACACTGGCTTGCTACCCAGTTTCCTTCTCTCTGAGATATCTGGGAGAGATAATGGGCCCTTCCCGTTTCAGGTGTCTGCTGATACTCCCTGGCCACTTGTGCTTCAGTGTGAGATGCAATTCTGAGTTCCCCGTGTCTTGCAGATGTGCATGGGACTGCACAGTTGCACTCTGGGCTGAAGTATCTCTTTTTTGCTCTTTATGAACTCTTCTTCCTGGTTTCTGTTCATTTTCTCCTTTTTGTTCCACTTGTTTTTCTGATTCATTTTCAGTGCTGCACCTGTACCTTAACATCACTCATTCTTTGCCTCCCTGGTGCCCTTTTTCTTAGGTTAGAATAATACTGACCACGAGACTTCCCCCTCTCCTTGGAAACGTGCTTGGAAGCATTTCCTTTTGGGGTTTAAATGACGGATTTTAGTGTTAGAAGGAGGAAAGTAACAGGTCAAGAGAACTGCAGCGTTACCAAACTTCTGTAGTCCTGTTACAGAAGGAGATGGAGGCACATGGGAGTAAAATGACTCTCGTGGCTGTGCACGTGCATGGCTAAAATACCATCCTGCTCCTTAGCTACATTGACCAAATGCAGCTACTTTGTTAACTTTTAATTTTTGTCTGTTTTAACCTCGTAGATAGGGAACACTAATTCTGCAGTCACGTTTTCCTCTTGCCTAATGTTGCTCCTTTATAACAAAAGTTAGCTCTCAAAATTTAAAGAGATGTCGTGGTAGCAGTGAAAGAAAATTGCTGGGAAAATGGGGGTGAGATGATTTAAGACAGAACTCTTGTGGAGTCAATAATCAGCAACTGGAACATGGAGCTTCSTTTTTTTGTGAGATAAAGTTAATTCCATTTGAAAAGATACTTAAGGTGACATGAATTGAATTATTCAAACTGGCCTTCTCAGCATTAACTCTAGGTTAATATCTCATGATGCCTCTGGTTTCATTATATGAGTTTTAAGTACATAACTTTTTATAATAAATTCAATACCTAGAAGCTGAACTGAAATTGGTTTACCTTCTACCAACCCATAAAAAGAAGCATTAATTGTAAATTGAATATTAAAGTGGTCACTAAAGTTGACTTAGATTCAAAGAGATAGCTCTTGTGCAAAGGAACTGAAGAGCTCTGCTGAACAGTGGGCTTCTGTCCCCATATTAATAGAAGATACCATCCGTATTAAAATAGTTAAATCTCTTCTATCAAATATGGGTTTTGGATGTTCTTTCTGCAGCTCCCAAACACGCAGCCTTTGCCATTTTCAGAAGCGTTGCACAGAGGTAAAGAAAATTGCCCTTGTTTTAGGTAATCAGGGCTGACCTAGTTATACAGTCCCTGCTTCGCTGCCATCTCAAACACTGGCAAGAATCCAGTTTGCTTTGGCAAGTGTCTGGCTGCTGAAAGCTTGTTGTGGATGGTCTGTAGCTTAGCACAGGACTTGAATCCCAAGATTTGGAGAGGAGGACCGAGTTTTACAGGACTGGAGTTTCTTGGACTGCTTCTAAGAGAAGGGTCATACCCGTTGCCTTGTCTATTCACACTAATCTTTGAATTTACAAGTACAGCTGGCAGCTTTTATTTCTTATTTGTATAAGATTATCAGCACATCTGTTAATTCCCTTGGCTTGCACAGGTTGTTCTGTATGCCTGTTAAGGTTTCTGTACCTTGAAATGCACTAGATGYGGGTAGAATTTGAGACGGAAAGGACTATCAAGAACTTATTTCCACTGGGGCATCTCCTCCCTCCTTTTCCTATGCATTGCACTGCCTGTCTCCTGGTCATTATATTCCAGTAGTGCTGGGAACTCTCATGAGGAAAGAGGAGCTGTTGTGTGCCAAGCACTGAGCAAGCCTGCTGTAAGACATGGTCTGCCTTGGGAAGCTTGTAAAGTCCTAAGATGATGAACTTTTGGGAGGGAGGCTAATTTTTGTAAACATTTTTTTTTTTCCTATTGCTATTTCTGTTAAGTAACATCTTAAATGTTGTTGACATAATTGTGGTGTCATTTTGCAGTGAAATCCAAAGAAAGCTGTTTCTTGAAAGGACTCGGAAGTCTCACTTTGTTTTTATGTCAGTGACTAAAATTCTTGTCCGTATCATTGTCTTTTTTTGCTTTAATAAGGGCAATTACATACTAAATTTATTAGTTATTTGATTTTTTTCTTTGAAAAGTGTATTGAGAAAAGTCAGCAGAAGCCCCTCCTTTCTGCTTCTCCCAAACTTCTTTTTTTGTTGCTTTTTCTTTTCTCCCCAGGTCACCTTTAAATACATCCACAGCTTATTTAAAAGAAGGAAAAAAAAAAAAAAAAAAAAAAAAAAATCCCCCCATAAGCAAAGGGTTTTGGATGCTGTAAGGTAAACTTACCTCACAGAATTTACTTTGTCTGTTTACCCAGCTGGACTGGAACAATGGATGAGCCTGGCTGAAAGATACTTGAGAATTGGCATAATAAATAAAGAACTAATTTGACTGTGGACCCAAAGGTATTGGAATAATTTTAGGAGGCCAGACAGAGGCGAAGGCTTCACATGAGTAAATATCGAGAGTAGCCTTCCTTTTACCTGTGCTGCTTTCAGCAAATCCACTGATCTATCTCCGTGCCTCTCTTATCTGTAAAAGGGAGATAATGTTTTTTTGTCCTCTTTCTTCCCATCTTCTGC